AAAAGAAATGTCTTGTAAATGTTTTGAGCTTCATGCAGTATATATTCTATCATTCAATTGTGCGTGACCACTCGAGGCCATAGGTTAGTATTGCTTGACAAGTGCAACTTCATTTCTTACTTTGAGCGCATGAAGCTCAAGGTAAAAAAGTCCTGTGGGGTGAACGAACTCCTCCAGAGTTAATTAAGTATAGAGGAATGGGGCTCCAATCCTCTGTCAGACCTCGAAACCTTTCCTTGTAGCATGACGTGTGCCGGAATAAACCCCACGTTGAAAAAGTGTCTGACTGCCCAGTGTTCCAATTATCGAGGTATCACACTACCGGTCAGTCCCGGGAAACTTTTCTCCTGAATCCTTTTGGAAAAACTGAAGCAAGCAGTTGGCAGGAGATTGCCCAAATAAACCAGGCTTCCGGATGGGCATGTTTTCCTCGGCCAAATTTTCACTCTGCATAGAATAGCGAGCAATGCTGACGATTCCACTGGCCTTGACTTGTCAGTTTTTCAAATTTAAGGCTTCATTTGATTCGTTACATCGTCCAACGATGTGGTAAGTTATTAAATACTACAGTATACCTGAGCACATCGTTTCCAATTTGGAACAGATGTATGCAGGAACCATGTAGGTTGTCAAAGTCGAAGAAGAGCTACCTGAGTAATTTCCTATTAACTGTGGTGTTCGCCATGGATGTGTAGTTTTGCTGTTGCTACTTAACATTATTTTCGAGTTTCTTCTCTGAAACAGTGGTGATCCTGTCTCATACTGGAGAGTAGGTGCAATTCAAGATATCCGGCTAGATGGCTTTTCTGACTTAGAGTACATATATGATATTATCCTGATGTAGTTTACGTCGGAACCTCCTATTTGGACATCCGGTGACACATTAAATTCATATATCCAAAAAGCATACGTGACCAATTATTGTTCATTATTCCTGTTGTTGTAATCGGTTGATGCTAATTTGTCGCTTAGAGAGTTAAAAACACTGTTCCATATCTTAACTTTATTACCTACGGTAGCCTTTTTCCTATTACAACGAGGATTTATAGTGTCTATTTTCGAATTAAATCTTTTTATCATTCGGATTTCAAAAGTATGAAAGGTAATGAGCGACTTCTGTTTCAGGTTTTAAGCCAAGTGCGTAAGTTTCAAATTTCCTGGGTCTGCTGCTCCGTAGGAGTCGCCGCTTCTAGTTTGACTACGATGTTTCTATTCATGGAATCGTTATAGGTTGTTCGATTGAATTGTTGATATCACAACTTTAATATAAAAAAACTTTGATTACTGAAGCGGCGTCTCACTTGTAATTAAAGTTTTTATTTATCTCAAAATCGCATTATCACACGTGGGTCTACAAAACACAGTAACCCGTTAGGTTCATTCGTCTTCACTCTGAAGTAGGTGTTTCTTCCAGACACTAGTCGGTTATTTAATTTGAATTTTAAATCAGATTAAATAACTGACTAGTGTCTGGAAAAAACACCGACTCCGGAGTGAAGACGAATGAACCTAACCGGTTACTGCATTTTGTAGACTTTTCCAGCTCGAACGTAGAAGGAGAATTCAGCCGCCATTGGTCAGTCAGTGTTGTACCAAGCCCCAATTTTTGACGCTGCCAACCAGGAACCGTTATTTCTCGTATTTAACTGCAAAAATAATTTTTTCTGTTCACTGTTCAAAGCCATTCGTTATAATTTTCACTTCCTCACGAAGCCAGATACCTCAATGAGACAACAGTAGAAGTCACATAGAGTTAATTTTCGCTGTTCGCTGTTCCGTAGCGTTGTACGGAATTGAACTGAAGAACAGGTCGCACGCAAACATGTTCTTGTTGCTGCTTATACTGAATAGAGATTAAGCAGCACGTTAGCTGCTGCCTAATCTCTATTTAGTATAGGCAGCAGTTAGTTCATTACAGCAGATACGCTATTATTAATAATACGTTACTAAGTTTGGCATCTCTTGCTCATGTGAGTGCCTGTACGTAGTGTAGAAGTCCGCTGCGATAGGTAGACACGGTGATTGCTCGCCACTCGTCAACAATATCTGTCCGTGACCAAAACCTCACTAAAATCTTCACTTCTCTGAATCCGCTGGGTTCGGCGAGGGTTGTGGAGTCATTGGCAATAGCTCAGGAGGGTTGACACTTCAAATGGACTGCCAATCAACGACTCGCCAAAAAGTGTTAAGAGAATAAGACCACGAAAATATATGCAGGCCGCCACGTCGGCATAAATAGCACCTACAACAAAGCAAACCATCAAAGGAAGTGATTGGACTCGAGGTCAAGTTACTCAGTCAGCAGTTGAGGCAGAGAATAGATAGGACTGTAGGAAGGTGGACTTGCGTTTGTGGAGCACCCACAACGAGGACAAATCACATGAAAGGCGGAAAGGAAACCTGGCATTTTATAGCTAAAATTATTTTACCTTTATGAATATCCAGTAATATGATATAGCTGCAGAAACGGAAGAAATGCAAAATTTTAGCGAAAACAAATAATTTGACAGTGACATCCGTAACACAATCTGCCTTTCATTCTTCAGTTGAGAAGGTATGCCACATGACGCTTCAACATCCTCCTTTGCATAACTGAAACTGACTGTGGCTTTTGGTTTTTCTGCCGTTGCGGACAATGAGGGATAGAGAAAGAATCTTTCTGCTTATGGATTTCACATCGTAACCTGTAGATATATACTACTGTACTCAGTAACGTTTGAAATGAAACCGTTTCGGAAATTTTCTGGTAGTGTAGGGCAGTCAGTCTATTCTGAGCGTTGTAACCGTGCCCGTGTAGGGTACCGTACAATAATGACAGTCAGTCGCTTTGAAACGAGGTTTACCAGCCATTCACAGTCACGATTAGTCATTGTGTAATGAGGTCGTAAAAGCTGTTGAATCTGTAGGATGCATAGGTTTTAATAATCAGTTTCAAGGTGAAACGCCGCTCATTTGGCTCAGCTATGCGCTTGCGAAAACGTTAACTGGTTGCTGGAACGTCAGCGTACGACAGCTGCGTTTACACTACACGCCAGCTGCCAAAACTGTTGTTTTCTACCTCTGCCGATTCTCGAAACCACGATAAAGTAATAATCGAGCGTCGAGCGTAAACGTTTACAATCCCTGCGTTGAAATGGACATTAAGATCACGGATCACGGTCAAATAACATTAAACCGTTCAGGAGAGACGGTCATTTCTGAAGGCACTCTTGAACAACATCGAAACGGGGCTTCAGAAGGGGTCAGGAAGTGCGAGCACTACGCTACTGGTAGTGCCCCAGAAGTCCAAAAATGTGCGCGGCCGAAAGTACAAGCAGGCAAGCATTTGCGCCTCATTAGAACTACATGGTCGAAAAATACGAATGTTCCTCGTCGACCAGATGACTGGCACTCCACGTATGTTCGATGACGTCTTCCGGGGGAAAAGAGTGTGTGGCAGTGTGTCTATTGGCATTATAGCACGACTGTTACGGACTGAGATTCTAACTAGCGGCTAAGCGCTATAACTGCTACTTTACTTGCGAAAGAAATTTGAATAGTTACTTCCTATAACGATGTTCATAGTACTAAGCACTTCGAAGTTCACCGTATACCGAACCTCGGTGTTCGGTTGGCCGAGAGTGAGCAAGTTCGACGTATGAAAATCTTATGCCAGGGAGTAGTATGGTGTAACGATTACTTCTGAGCCGCCACTGCACCTGCAACGGTAGCTGCTGAGAAATAGCCAACGCTGACGATGAGAAAGGGGCTAATTGGACATGACAAACTCCTTATCTTTTTCCGAGTGTTTCTGTATGATAGGGAGATAGTTTGACCACAGATAGCGAACAAGATCAAATTAAAGAAATTGCATGTCATGGCGCAGTGTGGTATAATGAATGCTCCTGAACATCTGTTGTAGTCGTAAAGCATCGCCATCGACCCTGAAGTGATCGACAACCGAGACTGAGCTAACTAAGACTGAAGAAGTGCTGATGCTGATGCTGATGCTGATGCCCTTTGAGAAAGTTTTACGCATTAGAAAGATAGTCTGATCACAGGCAGTACGGAATAACTTGTTTGTTGTTTGTTGAGGTCATGACCTCGAGTGGTTTGCATAAGCAGAATGTTTCTGGTTTTTGACGTCCGCTATATCCGCAGCTTTTCAGAGCTTTTATTTTAAGGCACCGGTTACCGCATCGCAGAAGAAAATATTTCTCTCCAAAAATATCTCTCTCTTTATCGATCTTCCATGTTGCATGTTGGCCTCCTGCTAAACGACTACCGTATTTCCGGCTCACACGAGAAACTCACAGACTAGAGTACATGGCGCATGCTCCATCAGTTTGCATAAAATGGCCAAGCTGTTTTTATTAATCTCCACATCTCCTTAAGTCAGCGTCAAAACCAAGGTTGCTGTACGCAGTTCAGCCGTCGTTCTTTCTCGTTTAAAACAACGGCCTCCATGCCGTGCATCAATGGCTAATTTTTGTGGTAAGAGAAACTCCTTTTCCGACCGAAACATTATCCAAGTTTCCAAAAACACTAGACAGAAGGGTGATCCTCCTATTTAACTCTGGCTAGTTCCATCTGTGGAGATGACCGAGTCGAAACACTTGAATTGGTCAACCTCCTGAAACGCTTTACCTCCCTGTTCCACTTATAGGCCAGCTGTGCTGAATGGATTCGTCAGAACTTTTGACTCCCGGGCGTTAAGGAAAAGACCGGCTTTCGCAGCAGTGTTGAACATGGAACCAGTCGTGTGACAGAGCCCGCTTTCCGTACTACTCAGCGGGACAATATTATGCGCGT